TCTCAAGTGAGTCTCTTGGACCTAGAATTGACTTTGGGATTTCCCTGTTGAGCCCCTGGAAACCCCAAAGGATGTGTCTCTCACCTTGTACAAGAGTGATATTAAACTAATTAGGCTTGTTTGATATATTAAATTGTATGGAAAGCATTGTCAAACAATAAAGTTATGATGGTTAATACTAAGTGTCAATTTAATTGGACTGAAGGATACAAAGTAATAATCCTGGGTGTGTCTGTGAGAGTGTTGCCAAAAGAGACTAACATTTGAGTCAGTGGGCTGGGGAAGGCAGAGCCACCCTTAATCTGGTGGCCACACTCTAATCAGCTTTCAATGACTATAAAGCAGGCAGGAAAATGTGAAAAGGAGAGACTGGCCTAATCTCCCAGCCTACATCTTTTTCCTGTGCAGGATGCTTCCTGCTCTCAAACAGAGAGTCTGCTCCAAATTCTTCAGTTTCGAGGCTCGGACTGGCTCTCCTGCCCCTCAAACTTGCAGATAGCCTATTGTGGGACCTTGTGGTCGTGTAAGTTAATACATAATAAACTCCTTTATATAGCTATCCTATTAGGTCTGTCTCTCTAGGGAACCCTTGCTAATACAAAAATGATGCTAAATATTTTAAAGTAATATTTGTTATGGATATGTTATTGATATGATGATGGATTATACGAAATTTATAGAAGTCTGATGGTCCTGGCGTGATGCTGTCAGTCATGATTCTGGTTAATCTAAAATGCTATACGTAATAGACACGATGGAATTTTCTTGCCAGTTGCATTATTGTTATAATAAAATTTCATTAGATTTCTTAACCATGGCCATTCTGTTTTGTTATCCAGTTTTGATTCATCTCTAAAAGCATTTGTAATCAGTTACAGTCCAAAATTGCTTCTTCCTTCTTGGAAAGCATGAAAAAGCCTCTGACAAGTACTCTTTAATATAGGTTTCTAATGACTTTAAGATCAATAGACTAAGAAAAAATTTCCAGAACTCTAATGAAGAAACTGATGGGTTCATGAAACTGCTAATCAAAATCAAGCATAACAAGAACTCACTGCGTGAAACTAAATGACTGATGAAGATAATGTGTTTATACCTTTTTATTTAAGACTGTTACATTTCTTCCTACCTGATGCCTCCCAATTTGGAAACTATTCATGGGTATTCTTATTTTTATGGTAAATAGTTACTAAACATACGTTCAGTAGGAATCTGCTCCCTTTACATAACAGGATACAATTGGAAATATTGGTTCTATTAATAAGGTTTTGACTGGGATGTCATATTTGAAATTGCTTGTAGGTACTGCAAACGAAGTCTAAAATCTGACTTGATTTGGCTTCCTAGTCCCAAAGAGGTTTTTAAATCTGAGATTCCTGTATGGTCAATTGCCAGTCTTACAGCACTTATGTAAATAATCAGGCCAAGTTTGATAAGGTGAAACTTATGCAAACAAATTGGTCTTATTATCTTTGGTAAAGATGAAGGAAACTACAGAGAAAAAATGTGTTTCAAAAGAAAAAAATTATTTCAGAAGAAAAACTGTACTTCACCTGTGATTAGGTTGTTCATTATCTTCAAGTTGCGATTATCTACCTATAGGCTGCACTGAATCCTGAACTCTTCTAGTTTTCTCTAAAATCTGGCTATAACAAGCCTCACCCAATTCCCCACGGTGATTTGATTTGCTCAGCTGATTATCTACAGGCTTCATGATTTAGAATCCTGATGCAAACCACGTTTACCGTGTTACTATTAATTCAGCTCCATATGATCCTTTTTTAAAATTTGTAACTACTGTCTGTTAAATTTCTGCAGAAGTACAGCTCCCAGCAGAGTAATGCTGGCCCTGCACTTTGAAATGATCATCAACACCTATGGAACTGATACAATTGAACTTACAATGAATTCCAGGCTCCCTTGGCTTCAGAGCCACTCTTTCTGACTCCTTTGTTGCTCAAACGTGGCCAAAAGGGTCTTGACACTGACTCCCAGCTGCACTTCCCAGCTATGTGGGACCAGACCAGCTGGGAAAGGTCCAACCCAACCACAAGGGACAATCAGAATCTAATCACGGGACAATTGAGCACTGATGCTTTTGGAGGAAGACCTTGATAAAAAGAGGGAAATGTAAACACTGTCAATATTATACACTGGAGTCACTTGTGTCAAACTCAAACAAAACAAGAGTCAGGAGGTTAAGAAGAAAGTGCCTTCACCCACACCTGCCTGTGATGAGAATGATTACAAAGCCTCCCTGAAGGGCTCTTCCCTAAAACTGCCTGTAACAAGAACATTTCCCAAGGACTTTCCAACCTGCAGCTTGCTATAGGAGTCACGAGGACAGCTCGCCAGATGCACAATAACCCCTGCCCGACATGCCGTCTCCACCAATGAGCTCATGTCAACTCCTGTGGTAAGACCCTGTAACCAGTGTTCTCTTTGCTTCAAAACCAACTTACGTGCATGCTTCCTCTTGCCCTTGAAAGCTTTCCAATGCTTCAGTTTCTGTTGATATGCCTGTGTCGACATAGCCTGCACATCCCAGATTGCAGTCTCATTCCTGAGTAAACTTAATATATTTGCAGAATTTCTCCCTGTTTGTTATTTAGATTGACACCTCACATTTTTACAGGGACTTAAAATATGCAAAGTTTCTACCAGAAAATGACTTTGACCTCTGAAGGAACTAAGCTTTAGATTTTGCCCACGATTTCACCATGAGTCGGGGGCTGGGAGGGACCCATTTTCAACGGAAATATGTCAAACCAAGGCCACACTAAGCTCCTGGCTCCCAGAGTCAGGAAGATGCTGTGCTCTCCCACGGGGAGTGGCTTTGCCTGGGCGCCACTCAGCACCCCCTCCTCTGTCAGGCACACTCATCAAAGACACAAGCGAAGGGACGCCAGCCAACATCCACCTGGGGCTCCAAACGATAGGGCTGAGATTCTAACCATTCCAGGCGCCTCAGAAACAGGAGTCTCACCTCCTATCCCTCCCCAAGGGTTTCTTTTTTTCATGCTCACTTCCTAGAACTAAATCAAAAGGAAAACCCCAACTTTCCACAGTAATAAAAGAGAGGCTACTCCCTTTGCAAACCACCCCTACTGTTACTGCCTGGCAGAGGGAAAACTGTACCTCCGATTTAGTGCTTTCCACAGCCAATCAGACATTTGCATAGGAGTGTAACTTTGTCACTTCTTTTCGGCCTGTGTTTGGTTGCTTTACCCAACCAATCAGACTGACGGCAGGACAAGTCTTCCTTTGCCTAGATGCTTAACTTTGTAAATTCACTTCAGCCTCTTGATTGGTTGCGTTCCACAACCAATCAGAGGTTTGCATAGGAGTAGCTTTTGTAACTTCAACCTCTGATTGGTTGCTTTCCACAATCAATCAGAGGTTTTTCATAGGAGTAGCCTTTGTAACTTCACTTCAGCCTCTGATTGGTTGCTTTCTGAAACCAGACTGATTGTAGGTCACTACCTCATTTGGATGGAGTGTACACCCAGTGGTCAATGGGAAACCTCTAGAGGGTACTTAAACTTCAAAAAATTCTACAACTAGGCTCTTGGAGCCCTGTCCTTGGGCCTGCTCCCAAGCTGCAAAGTGCACTTTTGTTTTCAATAAATTCTGCTTTTGTTGCTTCATTCTTTCCTTGCTTTGTGTGTTTTGTACAATTCTTTGTTCAAAACGCTAAGTAAGAACCTGGACACCCTCCACAGATGACAATTGGAAACGCCCAGAAGAGGCAAATCCACAGAGACAGAGAGGAGCTGAGAGGCCACCAGGGCCAGTGATGGGAGGGGAGTGACCTGCGTATGGGTTTTCCTCTGGAGTGACTTTTTCCTGGACTAGACAGGGGACGTGAAGGCTGGGTGCAGCGGCTCACGCCTGTAATCCCAGAACTTTCAGAGGCCGAGGTGGGAGGATCACTTGAGGTCAGGAGTTCAAGACCACCCTGGCTAACATGGTGAAACCCAGCCTCTATTAAAAATACAAAAAATTAGTCAGGTGTGGTGGTGTGTGCCTGTAGTCCCAGCTACTTGGGAGGCTGAGGCAGGAGACTCGTTTGAACCCAGGAGGTGGAGGTGGTTGCGGTGAGCTGAGATTGGGCCAGCGCAAGGCTCCATCTCAAAAACAAATAAATAGAGACGGCCGCACAGCACTGTGAATGCACTGCCACTGGTCTGTTCACTTTAAAATGTTGATCTTCTGTGAATTTTCCCTTAATAAATTATTAAGAAAAAAACTCGTGGTAGGATTGGAGAGGCAGAAGAGCAAATGCACCATCGCTGAGGGAATGATGGAGAGAGACTAAGGGAGGTCACGCTGCTGCTGAGGGCGGGTCAGGTCTGGGCCAGTTCCCTGAGGACTGTTGGAGGAACTGGGGGCTGAGAAGGGGGAGGGCACACCCAGCTGGGATGCGGGCAGGGTGGAGGCAGGAGGGGGGGCTGCCGGGTGGGGGCTGTGCCTCTTGGAAGGGAAAGGGCAAGGTCGCCTGTAGTTTCTGAACCTGCCCGGGTGGGGAGGTGCAGTGGTCTGTGTCCTTAGCAGCGAGGGCAGGTCTGTGTGTTCCCAGCAGGTGGTCAGAGTCCCTCAAGTCTGACCCCAGAGGAAGCAGTGGGTGGAGGTGGGTGAGCCCTCTGGAGCCAGCCCTCTGCTGAGGGGTCATTTCTGTTTGTTGAGTTCGATCCTAGAAGCTCATCCTCACACCCCTCTTCCACCACACCCTCTCCCCAGAGCCTGAGCTCCGAGGGGTGCCTGACCTGCAGGAAGGACCCCGGGACCCTCGGCTGAGCTGCCAGCAGCTACCCTCCACTAGGCCCTTCATACTGTTGGCCTGTGGCACCCGCCAGAGAGAAGCAGGCTGAGGCTGGGTCCTCTGTCCTTCCTCCCGCTTTCCACCAACTCCCTGTACCCAGCAGACCCCCAAGGGTGTGCCCAGCCAGCCCCTGCCCAAGGACCCCACACACAGGCAGAGTCACAGGGACTGCTGAAGCTTTTTATGGAGAACCAGGAGAGGGGGCACAGGGAACGGGGTGGTGGTAGGGGGCAGCTGGCTGGGCTGGGGGGTGCATTTTCTCAAGTCCCTGGGCAGGACAGAGGTGCCAAGTGGTGCTGCTCTGGGGCTTCTGAAGAGACAAGGTGTCCCTTGCCCTGAAAAAGAACGGAAGGTCAGTAAGGCCAGGACAGGGACAGTGGGAAGGGGCTGCTGTGGTGTGAAGGGCACATGCGGGCTCCGGGGGACTGCGGAGCTGGCGTGAGCAGAGGGGTTCCTCTCTGCTATCTCCCCACAACCAGTCTGCCCACATGGCAGAGCCAGTGAGGGTGTGCCTGGGAAAAGGGGCCTTCTCAGGACCAGAAGGCACCTGGGCTGGGCAGTGGCTCATGCCTATAATCCCAGCACTCAGGAGACAGAGGCTAGCCCATTGCTTGAGCCTGGGAGTTTGAGACCAGCCTGGGGAACATGGTGAAACCCCATCTGTACAGAAACACAAAAATTAACTGGGTGTGGGGGCACGTGCCTGTAGTCCCAGCTGCTGTGGAGGCTGAGGTGGGACGATCACTTGAGCCTGGGAGGTGAAGGTTTCAGTGAGCCATAATTGTGCCATTGCTCTTCAGCTTGGGCAAAAGAATGAGACACTGTCTCAAAAAAAAAAAAAAAAAAAAAAAAAAAAGGCACCTGACTGCTCATAGCAGGGTCAATGTTACTGCCCCACACAGGATGTGGAGGGGCTGGGGAGCCCCAGGTGACAGCACGCCCAGAAAATGGGGAGCCACAGGGCTTCCACGGGTGCCTGGGCATGGTGGGGGCCAGACCCTGTCCACTGTTCCCAAGTTACACAAATAGGGAACCCAGGTGACAGAGCCAAGAAAGAAGTCTGTAAATGTCCTGGAATTGATGTTTTAGGACAGATAGGATCTCAGAGCAGGGAGGGGTCCCTCCTGTCTGCAACTTGAGGGTGCCCTGGTGCATCCTGATGCCCTTTAAACCCCAGGGCTCTTGTTTGCTTTAAGGGTCACTTACCCTAGTGTGGTTCAGGACTGCAGCTTTCTACAGAGAGCAAGAAAAACCCAGGGATGAGAAGACGTGCAGAGCTCAGACCCCCTGACGACCAAGACCCAAAGCAGGGCCCTGGAGTCCCTGTGAGGGACTGGAGTCCCCTAGGGGAACATGCGGGATGTGAGGGACCTGGGAAAGGGACGTGGGAAGCCTCAGGGTACCCCCAGATCACAGAAAGACACGAGGGGACGTGGGGAGCTCAGGCAGAGCCATCCCCTCACCTGTCTGCAGGGGTATAAAGATGTCATCTTTCAGGAATCCCTTGCGCTGAGCGAATTTCTTAAATTCTTCCAGGGCCTTTGTGTTGACACCGGGATTCCTACCTGCAGGTGAAGCGGCCAGGTGAGCCAAGGTGGGGATGGCTGCATGCCTCTGCAGGTGGCGGATGCCTTCAGAAGACGGCCGCCACCCATGCCCAGGGCTTCACCTTAGAATCCGGCCAGGGACAGAAGGAGAGGCCCGTCCCAAGGAGGGATATGAGCTCTGGGGTAGGGGTGGGGGACAGAGGAGAAGCCACCACCCAACTGGCAGGTCCTTGGGAAGAGGGATAGTGGTGGAGACTCTGTGAGCCACTGAGCAACCGTGGGGGGCCCAGGCACTCCTTAAATCACCTGCAGGGTCAGGCCCCGACCTGGAAGGACCCTGTGTGCCAGAGGCACTGGGCTGCCCTCCCACCCTGGGGTGCCCTGCCCCACAAAGTCCTCTGTCAGCACCATGAGGTGACCTCCCCACATCCCAGACCCCAGATTTGTGTCGCCGAGGGCTGTGTCTGCCCTGTCCACCCCACTCTATTCCCACGGCAGAGCTCGGGCGCTGGGCTGGACTCCAGGCAGCACACACAACCCAGCACACATGGACTCAAACGCTGCTTCCCTAGAGGTGCGGGACCTACACCCAGAGAAGGGCTGATGCTGGTTCCCGGAGATTCTGAGAGCAGAGGTGGTGGGGCTGGGCAGGAAGCCATGGAGTAAGCAGGGCCCTGGGAATTCTGGGAGACTTACCCATGAGCTTGGCTACTTGGAATCTTTCCCCCTCAAATTGCAATTCAGAGAAAAACAGGCGGTGGTCCCTCACAGAGGAGCCCTCCATGTGTAGGAAGTGCAGGGCCCCAGCTGTGGAGGGCCACAGAGGAAGGGCAGGTGAGTCCCCCAGCCCTGCAGTGCCAGTCTCACCTGCCTTGCCTGCCAGGTGCCTCACCTGTCCCAGGTACACCAACTGCCTTGTGCCCTGGGCACTGGGGTCCCCACATGTAGAGACCCACGTTCTGCAACTGCCCCTCCTGGGCACAGGGCCACCCCCAGGACAGGGAGGGAAACTGAGTGGGAGACACAAAGGGAGGAGGGGCTTCCTCTCTGGGGGTACACCCACCACCCCCCCAACCCGGAACTCACAGGTTCTGTATCTGCCAGGCACCCTAGTTTTCTCCAGAATCATGTCTATTTTGTGGCACTGACCATTGCTCCTGGAAAGCAGAAATCAGGTGGGCAGGGTGTGGCCTAGCGTCTATCTCTGCTTTGGGAGACGTGCCGGGACCTCCCCACCCCAGACCTGGAAGCAACATAGGAACCCCAACCCTGCCAGAGGTCCACTGCCCCCTCCTCCCAGCTGAGCTGCCCCTGGGAGCCCTTCCCCTCCAGTTAGGGGACATTTAGCGGCACCCCACGCCAGTGAGAGAGCAGAAGGACCCCGGCTCTGTGGCCCCTGACTGGCCTGGGACAGAGGGAGCACGGTGGATCTGGGCAGATGCTCACCTCTTCGTGAAGGAGGCCTGTATGTTACCGCTGCTCAGCAATGAGAGTATGACGGGGGACACGTTCTTCCCTAAAATGCCCTTTTTTGCTGCAATGGCCTTGATATACCATGTCCCTGAAATCTGAAAAATGGGTTTTCTTTGCAGCTGCTGCTGTCCTTGCCCTACCATCCAGGCTGCACACGTGACCCTGCCCCTCACACACCCTGGCTGCACCCCTGCCCCCTGCCACATATCACAAGTACCCAGGCTGCGCCCCTTCTCCTGCCCCCTACGCCCCCGACTCCCTCCGAAGAGACCTGCTCCCTCCCAGGGCTTCAGGTCCCTTCCTCTAGTCCCTCCTCTCAGCCCTCACTCTGCCTGGCAGGGCAGATGACGTAAAATGGATTCCTTGGGCTCCCTGTCTTCCGCTGTCTCTGGCCACAGCTGTTGGGAGGGACAGGCCAGGGCCCCAAATTGGATCCATCTCTGACCACAACACGGTGCTCCCCGTGAAGCGGGAGGGGCTCAGCCTCAGCCTTAGCTCCTTCCTGACTCGCCTGCCCTGGTCACCCGCCTAGGCCACTCACACCCAGGCCACCCATCCAGGCCACCTGCCCAGCCTCACATCTGGCTCCTCTGAGGCAAAGAGGTCTTGGGCCTCTAGGTCAGTGATCAGGATAAGGCCAACGACCAGGAGCAGGGTCTTCATCTTCCGGGATCTGCGTTCACAGCTGCCTGACCGGGGAATTGCTGGGACTGGGAGAGACTGTGCCGGCGTCTCCCCCGGCTGCCCTTTATAGCCCTCGGCTCAGGGTCCCCTGGGGAGCTTGGCACAACGACCGCCAAGTCCCTTCCCACAGGACCTGCAGCCAACTGGCAGGGACAGTCGCTGTTTTGAATAACAGCTCATTAAGCCCTGGAGGCGTCAGCAGGCCCAGCTTTCTCCACGGGCTCATTCCCACCTTGGTGTGCTTGGAGTAGGACACTGACCACATGCAGGAATGGACATTTTCTGCACTTGGAGCCTCTGGGACAAATGGCTGGCTTCGCTCCCCACCCTGCCAGCATCCCCTACGGCTCTCTCTTGCCCCTGGAAGGCCTTTCGGGGGAGATCTGAGCTGCAGGTTGATGGAGAAGGTTCAGGATTTTGGAAAGAGGCATGTTTTCAATTCAGCTTGTCCTGGGTCTCCCAACTCAGCTTTAGTGGCCCGGGTCCCCACCGTCCTGTGCCTGGGACATTCCACGTTGCATTGTCCTGCAGTGTCCTGTGCTGTGATTCAGGGCCCAACCTCCCTACAACCTCCTTAGGGAGCAATCCCCAAGGCAGGATGGAAAATCCCCCCAAGCCATCCCACCCTCCCCACTCCCCACTTGGTTTTCTGTAGGGGGCCTGTGTGAGTGCCCTGAGGATATCTTTGTTTGCAAAGGGCCACCCCTGGGTGGGACAACAGAACACAGCCTCCCTGAGCTCCAAGGCCAGGGATCTGAGCTCCAGGGGTAGGCAGAACCCGCTCCCTCTGAAGGCTCTGGAGGAAGGGTCCTTCCTGCCTCTGCCAGCTCCCGGTGGTCCCAGGCATTCCTTGGCTGTGGCCCCACGGTTCTGATCTCTGCCTCTGTCTTCATGGCACCATCTGTGTCCCAAATTTCCCTCTGCCTTTCTGTTAGAAAGACTCCTGATTTCCAGCCCACCCGGATGCAGATTTCATCTAGAGAGCCTTAACTCAGTCCCCTCAGCAAACATCCTTTTCCCAAACACGCTGACATTCACAGGCTCTGGGTGGACGTGTCTTTGGGGGCACCATGCATCCCACTCCAGCAGAGAGCCCTCTGGAACAACCCCGTTCACGCCTTTGTGTGGCTTGTTGCCGTCTTCCCCTGGCAGCATTTAAGTCCCCGAGGGTAAGGACTTGCTCACAGGGTCCCCTTGCTCACAGCCACAGGTCCATGAGGGGAGGACCCAGCCCTCCAAGAGGGGCTCCGTTACTGCTCCGGTGACTCTGGCCTCCCTGTCTGCCTGACCTCAGGCCTTCCCGTTGTCACCATGTCACACACAGGCAAGGTGAGAGGCACAGACATCAGAGGCTGGACTTAGCAGTTGGTCTCAAAAGGGTGCCCTGTTGACCTGAGCCCCCGCTGCTCTCTGAGCCAGGGGTTCTCGGGTTCTTTCCTGGGACTGGGGAAGCTCCTGAGCTTGAAGCATCTGCCCTGCCACCCAGGGCTGACCCCAGCAGGAGGCCAGGGCTGCAGGTGATGCGGGCTCATAATGGCACCCTTGTGCCTCCCAGGCCCTGGTGCTGCCTCCCCCACCCACTCCCAGTTACCCCGGGGGGCGGCACCACAGGTGTCACCTCGACCCTGTAATTACCCGCAGGGAGGGCAGCTGGTGGTGTCCTGCCATCCTGGGAGTGGGGAGAGGCAGGGCCAGTGCCCTTTTGGGCCAGAGACAAGTGGGCAGGTCCCACCCCCAAGGGCCACAGAGAAAGGCTCCAGTGTTCCCTGTCCATGGTGACCTCCTCCCGGTGACAGGCAGGATTCCTGCCCACTACCGGATCTGAGAGGACAGCGTGTCCTGCCAGGCCCCTTGACCATCCAGCCCCTGAAGCAGACTCCACAGCTGCCCCCTTCTCAGAAGGAGCCTGGACACTCAGGGACACCTGTGGGGCTCTAGAGGCAGTGTCTGTCCACCGCCCAGCAGGCTCTGTGGGAGGAAATGTGTGGATGCAGGCTGGCAGCAGCCACATGGGCAGCTAAGAAATCATTTCCTCCACACGTGTGTGTATAGGGGTGTGAGTATGTGTGCTGGAAAGGGCTGTACACACACATGATGGAACGGGATAGAGCATTCAGAAACAGAGCCGCACAGACGGGTCATTTATTAATGGAACCCTCGGCTCAATTCTACAGAGAAAGGACAGACAGACGGTCCTTGACACGAGTGACGTGCCTGCCTCACACAAAACCAGCTCCCACACAACCACAGGTGTCCACGGAATGTAAGTCCACAACACATTCAGAAGAAAACAAAAAGAGACCGTCATGACCTGGGGTGAGGCAAAGAATTCTCAGCTAGAGTCCCAGAAGGAGGACTCATTCAAGGAGAACGGATGGATTGGACGTCATCAGCATTAAAAACTGCTCTGCAAAAGATGCTGTTAATTTTTTAAAGCTATACGCTGGAAGAAATGTATCTACATATTACATATCCCAACAAAAGAACACACAAAGAAATGTCAAACCTGAAGATTAAGAAAGAAAACAGCTCAATAAAACAAAATCCTTGAACAGACACTTCACCCAAGAAGACAATCCGACGGCAAGTAGGCACCTGGGCTGACAGGCGGCATCGCCAGCCACGAGGGAAACGCGCACCGACCACCAGGAGACGCCACTGTACAGACGCCTAATAGATGGCAAAACTGTTTTCCAGGAAACCTCACCCTACAAAATGCTGGCAAAGACGTGGAGCATCTGCAACTCACACGTCGCTGCCGTGAATGCAAAATGGCGCCACAATCTCAGAAAACTGTCGGGCGATTTCTTATAAATTTGGATACGTGCTTACCATATGACAAAATGTATTTCTCTTGTTGGCATTTATGCAAATGAAATGAAAACACAGGACGCGCATGTTTACAGTTAAAACTTCTACACAAATGGGTGTAGCAGCTCCATTCATAACCGCCAGAAACTGGAAGCAAACGCTTTCGCCATCAGTAGGGCAAACTGTGGTACATCCGTGCAACGGAACACTTCTCAGCAATTAAAAGAGCAAGCAACAATTAAAAGGAGACAGAGGTGGCCGGGCGCGGTGGCTCAGGCCTGTAATCCCAGCACTTTGGGAAGCCAAGGCGGGTGGATCACGAGGTCAAGAGATCGAGACCATCCTGGTCAACATGGTGAAACCCCGTCTCTACTAAAAAAACAAAAAATTAGCTGGGCATGGTGGCGCGTGCCTGTAATCCCAGCTACTCAGGAGGCTGAGGCAGGAGAATTGCCTGAACCCAGGAGGCGGAGGTTGCAGTGAGCCGAGATCGCGCCATTGCACTCCAGCCTGGGTAACAAGAGCAAAACTCCATCTCAAAAAAAAAAAAAAAGGAGGCAGAGATTGCCGCGAGCCGAGATGGCGCTACCGCACTCCAGCCTGGGGGATGGAGCAAGACTCCGCCTCAATAAATAAATAAATAACAGCAAAACCAACATGCGGAGGGAGCCTGAGACAGGCGTGCGAGCTGGTGGTCAGCACGGGGAGAGGCACAGACGCTCCTCGGAGGCAGAAGCTGGTTCCTTACAGCGGTGGAAAGAAAGAAGCAGACTCTGGGGAGACCGGAGAACAGAAACACAGGAGGCGGAAATAAATACTGCGGATGGCGGCAGAGGCAAAACAAAACGTCCCCTGCTCCAAATCCGCGGCGGAGCAAGTGCTGGCGGAGCGAGTGCTGGAAGAGGGGGGCGTGGGAACCTCCGTTCCCAGCCGGGCTTCCAGGGAGCCAGGGACGGAGGCCCAGGACTCCGCCAGCGGTGAGTCCGTTCCCCTTCTTGGAGGAAGCGCGACCCACAGAGACCCACAGGCCCCACGGGAGAGCAGTGCCACCCCGTGACATTCCACAAGGCCCCGCTGGCCGGCCCTGCCCTGCCCCAGACAGCGGCACACAGGCAAGGCCCTGCAGCCTGAGGCCCGGGGACCCCGGCCTTGCCCTAAGGAGGCTGCGAACAGACAGGCTTCCTCGGGGAGCCTCGGCAGGAGATGAGCAGAACGTCCACGGGGCCAGGGACTGCGGCACCCGCGAAGTCTCGGGTCACGCCTGCGGCACCTGGACCCGAACCCGGCACCGGCAAAGGCACGCAGCCCACGAGCGGCCCAGAGAGCGAGCCGGAACCAGAGAGCCGGAACCCGAGCGCGGAACCAGAGCGCCCCGACGGCAACGGAGGCCACCGCGGGCGCCAAAGCAGTAGCGCCCCCTGCGGACCGGCGGCCGCCGCGCAGAAGCAGGCTGGGCGCGGAAACACGTGCTTTACAGATGGGGAAGTGAGTGAGACGATGCCCGAGACAAAGTCCGCAGCCTGGCGCAGGTGAAGACCACCGCGAAGAGGAAGCTCGCAGCCAGAGCTGAGTGACAGGCCGCGGGCGGGCTGGAGGGTGGCCGGGCGCGCGGGAGCCTTCCCTGCAAAACCAGCAGCGGGGCGCACGCGTGGAGAACAGGAGACCAAGAACAGCGTAAAATGTCCTCGAGCGGAAGGAACGCCGCTGAGTGTGAGCGTGAGATTGCAAGCACCCACAAATTCAGGCAAGGCAGGTGAGGAGGGACACAGGCCTGCGCATCCTGGAAAGCTCTTGGACTTGAAAGATGAAAATAAATGATCCTGGGAAGATCTTGAAAGATCAAGACCAGCCTGGGCAGCATAGTGAAACTCTGTCTCCAAAAAAAAAAAAAAAAAAAAAGTTTTTTAAAGACATAAGCCTATTCATAGAAGGATTTCAAATCACACCACTCCATATAACAAAAATTAATTTTGTTTTTCTAGTATGAATCCCCAGAAGCAGATGACACAGATCCAAGCTCAAGTCGTTTACTTAGGAGGTGGTCCCAGGAGACGCTGGTGGCAGGGGACGGGTGACGTCGGCAGGGAAGACTGCCAGTGAAGGGTCCAGCATCAGGGTGACCACTGCGACCCATTGGGGCTCAGTCCCTGGCACTGCCATGGTTTATACCAGCTCTAGCCGGTTATGGGAGGGGGATGCTTCTCTGGGGCACTAATTCCTGGCACTTCCTGCTGCTGCAGGGTAGGTGGCTTTGGTGGAAAGACGGTCCGCATGGCCTGCAATGCAAGACCCAAGGGGCTCTGATGGCCCCCATGGCACCGCTGCAGTCCACCCCTGGCAGCTTCAGACACACTCATGCCCCACACTGAGCTCACACTTTGCTGTCTCTGGGTCTTCAAGGTGACAATTGCCTGCGATAATTTCTGAAAAACAATAAATAATTTCTAAACAAGAAATAATTTCTAAAAAATGGAAAGAAGTCTTAGAGCAGAAACATTTTGGGCTGGGCAAGGCTGTGACTATGGCAGTCAGCCCTCGCTCTCAGCCTGGACACTCGGCCCCTGGTGAATAAGTCATGTCAGGGAGAACCCGTCTGGTGCCCCATCTCCAGGATACGTGTGCTCCTTTGTACATATATTAAAAAATTCATTTTGAAAGGAACAAAAAAGCTCCACTGCCCTCCTTCATGTCTGTGATTTCTTGATTTTCAAACACTGAATGGCTTGTTTTGCTCCTGGAGAGATGGTTTGGCGCCTCTGCTGTGCTTGGGTTGGCAGTGAAAGTTTTCCTGATTTAGGACCCTGTTCTCAAATGTTTCGGATGTTGGGTGTCTGTGAGGGTCCCATGGTTATGAGCCATGGAAAGAGGCTTCATGTGACTCAGTGCACACAGAGTTTGTGGGTGGAATTGGGGGCCGCTGAGCTCGGGAGGGGAAGCTGCAGGGGGCCAGGGCTCTTAGGAGCAAAAATTGATGATGGTTGAGGCTCATGTCCTCTGGGACAGAGCCTGCGTCTCCTGGAGTGAGGGCTGCATTCCCAGGGCTAGCGGTCCTTGGCCCACCCATCACAAGGTGGCCAGGACACTGGATGGATAGGGCGGATGAATTGAGGAACACCCTAGGCAGGGATGCAGGGAAACCCACAGCTGCCCATGCCAGGCCCTCTGCATGGGCAGGAACAGACTTCCCGGCTTCTCGTGTGCCCGCCTCCTGTTCCCGCCCACATCACCCCTGCACCCATGCTCAGCGCTTTGCAGTCCCATCTCCATCTTAGGTAAATATTTTCACTATTTCTTCTTTTTTCTTCTTTTTACAAATAGAAATGAGGTATCACTGTGTTTCCCAGGCTGGTCTCAAACACCTGGCCTCAAGTGTCCTCTCTCCTCGGCCACTCAAATGCTTACAGATGTGAGCCACTGCACCCAGACCATTTCATATGTCTCTTTTTTTTTCAACTTTTAAAATTTTTTACCCAATAGCAAATAACCAACCAATCTTGAATTTTTACACAGACGTCCTAACCCTTCTGGAACCTGCATGGCAGCACAAGGTGAGGGTAATTCCTCACCACTCACCCATCTTTGTAGGATGGGGTCTGCCCTGCCCTCCACGTGTGGCCCATGGACATCCAGGCTGGCTCCACCTTGGCTCACCTGGGCCCTGCTGGCCTGGCTCGCTTCAGGACCACCCTGTAGCCTCAGCCAACAATCATGTCCAGGTGGGAGAGGAGGAGGTGAGGATGCTGGTGTGGGCGGGAGGCGGGCAGTGGTTCCTTGGTGCAGCCCTGGAGAGAGGCTGTCACTTTGCAGGCTCATCCCCCTGGAGGCCTGTCCAGCTTGAATTTGTGGCTCCTGGGGCATGTTTATCACTCCAGTGTGGTGGCCTCTCCTCCCTCACTGTGGCCGGCCTCCCCATGTCCCAGCAACCCCAGCGTCTGCATATACCATGGCCTTGGGAATGTGCCCATGGGAAAGCCAGGGTAGGAGCAAGGATCTCAGAGACCAGGGCCAGCTCTGCCTTGCTCTGGGGGTGATGATGGAGGCACCAGTGTCCCTCTCTCCAGCGCTGCCACTGAGCCCAGGCTTCTAAAGGGGGCGGCTCGGAGGATCCCTCTGAGATCATCCTGGGGTGGGAGCCATGCGGTGGCCCCATGGCTGCAGCCCTGATGCTGTGTCCCCACTCCCGCCCTCCTCACTGGCTTCCCAAACACTCCTGCCCAGGGCCCTGCCCATCCCAAGCTGAACCTGAGACCCGAGAGCGGCTCTGCAGGAGGCCCCCACCAGGACACGGCGCGGCCCCACAGGCCAGTTGGATGTCATGCCTCTTGTGGTTGCCAATGTCTTCCCAGCTTCCCTGGTGGCTCCCCCTCCCAGCAGGCCTCCCAGGGAGCTGGCGCAAGCCCCTCCAGCCCCACAGATAGGCCACCCAGAGCTGGGGCAGAAGCTGTTTATTTGGTGTCAGGCGGGTGGGTCAGGGAAGGCTCATTGCTGGAGGGTAGGTCCAGGCGGCCCAGGCTCCATGTCTGGCAGCAGGGTGGACTCTGGAGGTGCAGACCCGGGGACCACTGTGCTGGGAAGAGAAGAGGTCAGGGAGGCTGCAGGGTAGAGGCCAGGGAGGCTGCAGGGTAGAGGTCAGGGAGGCTGCAGGGTAGAGGTCAGGGAGGCTGCAGGGCGGGGCAGAGGCCAGGCCTAGAGCTCCCTCCCCAGGCTCCACAGCCCCCATGTCGGCCACTGCTGGGCAGCCTTGGGGCTTCAGAGCGACCTCAACTCCTCCAACACCTGAGCAGGCCTCTGAGCAGCCTCAGTGGGTGGGGGAGGGGGAGTGGACCAAGTGGGGACAGGTGCAGGGGGCAATGGGCCGAGCTGACACCTGAGGAGCCCAAGGGTGGCCTCGCTGTGGACGGGCTAAGGAGGACCCTCACTCGGGCTGGCAGGCCCAGGGACAGGTGAAAGAAAGGACTTCCCAAAAGTCCCAGGAATTGCGGGTGGGCAGACTCCAAGGTGCCAACCTCCTGCCTGGGCCGGGAGGTGTCCCTGCCTGTGTGGGATGGCAGGGGCCAGAGCAGACGGACCCTCGAACCCTGGGAGCAAGGCCCACTCACCCTAGTGTTCGGGAACGCAGCTTCCTGCAGAGACCCAGAAAAAGCCAGTGATGAGAAGATGCCCTGGCCCAGGGCCCAGACCCCGTCACAGCCCAGAGCCCAGACCCCGTCACAGCCCAGGGCCCAGACCCCGTCACAGCCCAGAGCTCAGAGCCTGCCACCATGAGGACCCTAAGCAGGAGCCCCTGTGAGGAGACTCGGGGCACACGGGGACACGGGGGTCATGGGACACTGGAGGTCACAGAGAGACACACGGGGCACATGGGGGACGGGGGACAGGGCACATACATCCTCTCACCCATCTGTAGGGGCATGAAAATATTCCCCTCTGAGAGTCCCTTGCGCTGCACGAGTTTCTTAAATTCTTCCAGGGCCTCCAGGTTGGTGTCGGGATTCCGACCTGCAGGTGAGGTGACCAGGTCAGCAGAGGTGGGGACAGCGGCCCGGCCCTGCAGGCAGCAGATGCGGAAAGGAGACGGCCATGGCCCAGCACTGGGACGTGGGGAGGGGAGGCCCAAGAGGGGACCAGAGTTTGAGGGTGGGGCTGGGGACAGAGGAGACGGCCATGGCCCAGCTGAAAGGTCCATAGGAAGTGGGACAGTGGCGGGGACTATCCAAGCCACTGAGCAACCCCAGGGGACCTGGGCAGCTCCCAAAGCCACCCTGTAGGGTCACAGCCCTCACCTGGAGGAATCTTGTGTCCCAGAGGGACTGGCTGCTCTCCTGCCCTGGAGGGTCCCTGCCCCATGAAGGGCTCTGTCAGGACACTACCTCCCCCGTAAGATGACACTTTTATACCCGAGACCCCAGAAGTGGCCCTTGGCAGGTTCATGTCACCAAGGGCCGTGTCTGTCCCTGCCTGGCCCGCCCCATTCCCACTTCAGGAACTTGGACCAGCGGCCAAGAGCAGCGCTCAGTGCCTGGCACATGAAGGCCAGTGCAGGGGGTTTCCCCTTTCCCCCATGCCAGGGCATGGTGATGCCGGTTCCACTGGCTTCTGGAGGCAGAGACCGTGGGTCAGGACATGCAGGCCCCAGCGGGCCCTCACCCATGAGCTCTCCCATGCGGAACAGACCCCCATGGCGCTGGTCTTTGCAGTAAAAGATGCAGTGGTCCGTCCCAGGCAGCTCCTGCAGGTATATGAGTTTCCTGCCCCCATCTGTAGATGACAGAGAAGGTGGGTCTTCAGTGCCCTCATTCCCAGAGAAAGCACTCAGGACCACATGAAGGAACACTCGGGAATGTTTCAGTGGTCACCCAGGTGCCCCGGACAGTCTGAGCTGGGCCTGGCTGCTCTGCACAGCGTGTACCCTGACACTGAGGCAGGAGCTTCCTCTGGGGAAGGTCCCAACCCAAGCAATGGAGCCACAGAGGCCAGAGCACGTCCAGGACTATAGCCCGGCCTTCCCAGCCCCAGCAGTGCCCCTGCCCTACTCTTCTGTCCCTAACGCTAATCCTCAGCTTCCCCATCCGTAAACCTCAGCCTCCCTGTACCTAACCCTTGGCTTCCTTGATCCCTAACCCTTGGCTTCCTCAATGTGTCCCAGAGGGAAGGTGTGATCTGGTCCATCTCCACTGTGGACAAGCCTGTCACACCTGGTGTCTGAAGTCAGGGCCACCAGACCCCCAGGAAGGAGAGGCCAGCCGGTCCTCATAGGTGGGCAGAGTCAGGACCCTAGCAGAAAGGCAGCCGGGTGCTTTCCGCCTGCAGTGGGGCTGGGGGAGGCTCACATGCGCTGAATTTGCCAAGCTCCTCCGTTTTCCGCATCAGGATTTTCTTTTGGAAGCACCGATCATTCCTCCTGAAAAACAGGAGACACGCGGGCAGCGGCTCCCAGGACACACCTGGGCTGTCTTCAGCTCACCTGGTGCATGGTCGTGACCCAGTGACCTGAAAATTCCACTGCCCCCTCCTACGCCCCGCACCAAGCTTTAGGATGCCCCGGCTCTTTCCCTCCAAGGCAGGGGGTGATTCTTACCAACGCCCGAAACATGGATGGGGGGTGAACGGTGGGTCTCGGGAGGGGAGAGAAAGCGGCCCGAGGGGACCCACAGAGGGCAACACTCACATAAAGGTGAATGTGGCTTCCAAGTCCCCACGGTCCAGGGCTGTCACTGTCACTGGGGACACCTTCCTGGGCCTCTTCTCCTCCGGAAGGTCCTTATCGGTCACCACGGCCTTCACATACCAGGTCCCTGTGATCTGGAGCAGGCCGAGGCCGTGAGCCCACCATGGGCTGGCCCAGAGCCTACCCTGACTGCCGCACTCAGGCCTGCAGCTCTAATCAGACAGCCATGCTGCCCGGCTGCCACCCCTAGAGGCTGGCTGGGTTCCTGCACCGTCGTTAGAGCTCAGTTAGAGTTGGTTAGGGCCAGCCGTTACCTCCCCACCCCCCAGGGCTCCCAGCCTCTGGTGGAGGGAAAGCGTGTCTGCACCCCATGGACCCCGGGCCCCAGCACCAGGTGAGCCCTCCCTCCCCAGGGCCCAACCCCACGAGACCTTCAGGGATCAGGTGTCAGTGCAGCAGGACCCCCTGAGCTGAGCCTGCTCCGGCTCCGGGTCCCAGGAGGGGCCGTGTCTGCTGGAGGAACAACAGGACCCCTCCCCCTGACGCCAGGCTGGGAGCACGGGGTCAGAACCCAGCATTGACTGATACCTCCTAAAGCAGGGCCCCTGGCGCTGCCCCCTGCCCAGGAGTCGGCCTGGCTCCTCCACCCGCCCACACCAGCCCGGCTCACATCCTCCTCCTCCAGGGCGAAGGTCAGGGCAGCGGCCAGGCCGAGCGTGACACCCAGGAGCAGGGTCTTCATCTCCAGAGCTCTATACTCACGACCTCGGCGGGCCACCGGGAGTCTGAACAAGTCTGTGCCGGCTTCTCTCAAGGTGTCCTTTGTGGCCCTCTAGCCAGTGTCCTGGGAGCACGTGGCACAGGTCACCCCTCCCCACAGTGGCAGCCAGTCCTGCATCCGGGAGGGGGAGTGTCATCATTGCTGGCATCTTATGGGCAGCAATTCAGTGCCAGCCAGAGAAGAAAAGACACATGATGTGCCCAGGGTTTGCACCACCCGAACGCGCCCACTCAGACCAGCCCGGAGGACTTGCCAGGACGGGGCAGGGTGGTGTGTGTCTGCACCCCGAGCCACAGAGGGAGAACCCACGGCCTTGGGACGTCCCTCTCCCACCCCTGAGCCCTCCCAGCACCCCGGCTGGGACCCTGGGCAAGTTCTCTGGGGAACTGGGCGTCTCCCCTGCTGAGGAGAAAGGGGCTGGGCTTTAGAACCACAGAGACGTGGGGCTGCTGCCCGCTGAGCCCGCACACCCTAGCGCCCAAGCTCTGGGACCCACGCTGCACTGATCTTCCCTGCCCCGGACCCTGCACTTGAGCCTCCTAGGGGCAGAGGAGGATACCACTGTGTGGCTCAGGGTCAGTTTATACACGGTCTCCTCGGGCCATACGAGGGACCACGCCGCCTCCCCAACCCCACTTCACTCCATACCTGAGCCAGGCCGTGCTGTCCTCAGAGCACGCAATCTCTCTGGATGGTTCTGTCCATTTCTTCCTGCACGTGTTCATCGGCCATCTCCCCGTTAGAATTTACGTTCCCCTCTCCCATCAGCTTTGACGGCCCCAGCCCACAGGACAGGCCTTGAATCTCATCCCTTTAGATAAATGGGTGGCATGAGGCACCAACAGCCACCTGCCAGCCTTGCTCAGCGTTCGTGAGTGCTGAGCTCCTTTGGGCACCTGGCTCCGCTGGCCTCATCCCCAGACAGCCTGAGCAAGAACTGTGCCTTCTCCTCCTGGACCTGGTAGTTCCCGGGCCTGCGTCATCTGCCCTGGGACCCACGGCTGAGTCACGCTCTGCAGGCAAGTGCTGGGCCGGCATGCTGGCATCTGTGTGCCTCAGTGGTCCAAGATCAGACACCCTTGAGTACTTGCTAAATAATACTAACGCACACTCTACTAACCCCGGGGGGCTGTAAGGAGGGGCTGGTGTGACCCAGTCCCTCACCTCTCCCACGGCAAGTGCTGGTGAGCAGAAACCACCCCCCATGCCCCCAGGCAGGAAAGGTGGGGCCTGGGCTCTTCAGGACAGGAGATGAGCAGACAGGCTGGCGTCTCTACATCAGCAGGAAGATGTCTCTGTTTCCTGTTTTTGTTGACAGTATCCCAGGCACCTCGTATTTCACTGGTTGGTTGCGAATCATCTAAGCACCTTACGACACTGGCGCTGCTGGCTCAATCCTTGAAGAAAATGCTGGAACAACATGCACAGATGCTTCAGAGAACGGGGCTCCCCCACGGGTTCCACGCTCAGTGCAACGGCTGCTCCCCAGGAGCCTCCCATTGTCCACCCATCTCACCCTGTGTCCCAGTCTCGTCCGCCAACTGTGTTCTTTTAGATACTGGTTGGGTTCCAGTGGTGCAGACGCCGTCAGGAGATGGTAGGGCTGGAGGCTGGGGGTCAGCCCATGGCAGATGGGAGGGGCGTGATCCCTGGTCCCCAGTGCTTTGTGGCCTGGCACGTTTCTCTGGATGGCTGTGTTCCTTCTGATGGTGATGCCTGTTGGGCTGTTAAAGGTATCTAACAAAATCCAACACCCATTCAGGATAACAACGCTCAAAAAATAGGAACAGAAGAGAACTTTAACTTGACAAAGAACATCTACAAAAAAACCTGTGGCTAACTTTCTTTCTTTCTCTTTTCCTTCCTTCCTTCCTTCCTTCCTTCCTTCCTTCCTTCCTTCCTTCCTTCCTT